TGGCCACCGAGAGCAGCCGCAGGAAGATGCACACCATCCTGAGGGGCCTTGTGACACCAGACTTGCTGCCTCAGCTCCATATTCACTGGCTGCTCAATGATGAGATCTGGGCCACACACAGGGAGAGGAGTTGGGGGAAGAGCAGTAACTACTTTAGGGACCTGGAGATTGTAACCCAGGGGTTAAGCCAGGTTTTCAGTGCTGGGCTCTCTCTGGAGAGCTGCATCACCTCCTTAGCCCAGCACTAAAGTGTCTATCTAAGAGCCCTCCTGACACTGCAACATGCTCCACTCCCCATCCTGATCACCATGCTGCTGAGGCCACTCCTCAAAGCCTGCTTGCCTCAGGTTCGCCTCTGGCATGCCAGGATAAGCCCTGTCAGAGCTCTGTCCAGGCTTCCCCCACCACAGCAGCAGCTCAGCAGCAGTGGTCAGTGCCAGCCTCTCCGACAGCTGCTAGGAGTCCTGTGATTGTTCTCTAGAGTCCACTGGCAGCTCTTCGGCTCCCCACGGCTCTTCAGCATCAGCCTGAAACCGCCTAGGCTCTCCTCCAGCGTGAGCCCACAAGCCCTCAGTCCTCATTAGATCCTTCATCTCCTGCAGCTAAACTGGAGACCACAGAAAACGTGGAGGGTGACAGTGAGGAGGAGATTAATTGAAGGACTGAAGAACGCATCAAGCAGTCTTTGAGTGATATTTGCATGGAGCCTGCTGCCAGGCTGTGCCTGAGTGAGTTTGTGGTGGTTCAGAAGTCTGTGCAGCTGACAGGCACTGGGGAGGAAGCCCTCAGCATACGGGTCCTGGAGGATGCCCACAAAGTGGACCCGAAAGGCCTGAGCAGCTGCACTTGCCACTTCAACCAGGTCTTCCAGCTGCCCTGCTGGCACATCTTGGCTGTACTGAATTCGGACAGGAAGACCTTGCAGCTGGAGATGCTCAGCAGACAGTGGCAGAAGGGGTGCGATGCCCATCAGGCTGGGCAAGACAGTGCTGATGGTCTCCTGGAGGTCCTGAAGAGCTCCTGGAAGGAGTCTTTGGATAAATCCCTGGTGGTGTCCTTCCTCATGGTGGAGATCAACCGGCTTCTCACCCACTGCAGCGCAGCGGAGTTTAAGCGCAGGTACAGGACTCTCCGGGAGTTGGCTGACAGCTGGATTGGGCCCTATGTTGAGGTGAAGCTCTAGCACCATGCGGGAGCCGAGCTGACCGCTCTATGTGTGGGCCCTTGGGAGCAGCGGGGTAGCAGATGTGCAGGAGGCCTGTGCATCACTCCACTGATGTCCTGGCTTCCACTTTTATTCACCTCTGCATGTCACTCCCTGGAGCCTCGGTATGGAAGGGGCAGTTTGGGTCCTTTATCTGCCGAGCAAGTGTTGCCTCTTGGATGGGGCAGCTGAGGAACTGCATTGGGAACTCCTGGTCACACAGGATGAGTAACCAGCCGCTGACCTGGCTAACAGGAGACATGGCTGGGAGCCAACCACGGGTGGTGCGGAATGGGAGGTGATGGTATAATAACATGGGACGAAATTATTTGATGCGTGGCCAGCGCCTGCAGCTCCTTCCAGCATCCAGCTGTGATGTGTTGTGCAACAAAGCCAATAAATCGGCCTCATATTGCTCGGGAGCTGCGTCTGTCTCTGTGCCAGCTGCAGGCACCCCTCCCTGCCGACAGGATGGGACGGCGGGGCTTGCTCAGCCCATGAGATCAGGCAGGGCTTTGGGCAGCGCTTCTTGGTGGTCTTGTCTCATTGTGGTGCCCTCCAGTTAGTGGAGCGAGCCTGCTTGTCAGGAGCCAGAAGATCCAGAGGGTGGCAATCTGCTGCTGGCAGCACGGCCTGTGGTCTGGAGCAGAGGAGTTGTTTGTCTGGTTGCAACAGCTGATCTCGATCCCTCAGAAAGGGGAACCTGCCCTCCCTCAACAGCTTGTGTGCTGGGGGAGGTGGGAGGGATGCTGGGGGTCACAGCAGTGCAAATAAAGCTGCGGTGAGGTGGAGAGCAAAGGCTTTAAACACGTGGGGTGGGGGAGGAAAAATACTGAGAAGAACAAACAAGCCCTGGCCCTCAGGCATTGCTCTTGGGCTGGGTGAGCTCCCCGTCCCCCCTCGCTAGGCAGAGCAGCTCCAATACCAGCAGCTCCAAAGCCTGTCGTGTTGGGACATGGCAGGCTGTGTCCTATGGGACGAGCTGGGGCGGGGGGGACACATCAGAGATGTTGCTCCATCACTGTGGTTCAGTCACAATTGGTGTTTTGCCCGATTGGCGCTTCCTTCATTAACACTTCGGTTTTGGCAGGAGTAGGACTGCTGTGTGGTTGGGGATTTCCTCTCGATCGAGGGTTTTGTAAAGTTATCTGATACTATTGAATCTCTCTGACTAAATATAGTGTAGTGTTTCCTCAGACACCTTTCTGTAAACTTGGAGCTGCTTGTTTCACCCCTCAGCCATGCTGTAGAAGAGGCCTGGAAAGCTCTGCCTGCCGGCCCCCTCACCATCTCTCTCCCTGGTGTGTGTGGGCACCCCTATGATTGTCAGAGGGCTCTTCCCTCTACCCCTTGCTCTGCGCAGCTCCGACCTGGGCTCCCCTCCCCAGGCAGCGTGGCGGGATAGCTGGACCCTGTGCCACGTCGCTGTGCCTGGCTCTGCGGCTGCAGGCATGTGCCTGAGCAACGGCTGCTGCCAGCACAGTCTGTGGGTGCTGCAGGTTTCCCTCTGGCATCCACCCCGTCCCTCTCCCCGCTGGGATCACAGGAAATAACTCATCCCTGTTCCCAGGGTAAACATCTTTCCCAAGAGCGAAACTGCCTGGCCACAACAAGCTGCCCTCTGCGTGAGCTTCGTGCCATGCCCTCCGGTGCTCCACCCAGCCCAGCCCTCGCTCTGATTCAGCCGGGCAATCCCAGCTTTGTTCCCAGGCTGCGGACAGGTCCCAAGCCCAGCAGGGTTGAGGGCTGTGCTCGCAGGCTGACAGGCCCAGCTTTGTT